GTGTGTGTGTGTGTGTGTGTGTGTGTGTGTGTGTGTGTGTGTGTGTGTGTGTGTGTGTGTGTGTGTGTACAGAGTCATATTACATTTATTTATAAAACTTGTAGAAGTGTGACTAAGTCATGGCTTAACCGTCTGTTTAGTGTGTTGGATTTACTTAGAACTGCAGTCTGTGCAATTATTATTTTATGTTATTTCTCTAATTAAATCTAAAAAGAGGTCAGAGCTGACCTGACAAATTAAAACCCAGAACCTGTTCCTGTKTTTGTGGTGGGTGAACGGCAACCCGGGAGAAGTTGAGAGCAAATAGAGAAGAAAAAAAAAAAACTCCAGTGATTTATCTCCTTCTTCTAACTGGGACAGAGCGGGGGGGCATAGGGTGTCATGTCCCGAAAAAYAAAAATAAACACACTCCTGTCCCTCTCCATTCCCCACTGCCAAGCCCTGGAGGCTTGTTCCACTTCCTGCCACCTGGTTGACTTTGCTGCAGCTCAGACAGCGTGTGTGCGAGAGGTAACCTTCACCTGGACTTGCGCAGACGAAACAGATGAAACCCAGAGCTGGGCTGGAGATAAAGGAGTTTCTGTCAGCAGTGATAACGTTTTGCTCCAGACGAGCAGCAGCGTCCCACTGAAGACGCTTTGTTAAGCCTGACCACGGGCAGAATTTCCTCTCTCCCTTTAAATTAAAGATGAAGTGTCTGCGTTCTGGCCCTGCGATTATCACGGGAGCCTGTCAACAGAAATATGCCACGGAGGGAAGCTGGATGACAAATGAATCTGCAGTTTGAAGCAGTCTACAGGGAGGTTTTACTGCAATACTCGAATAAAAAAAAACCCCATCTGCTTCAAATCTAGTTTCTGTCTGAGTGGGCATATAGGACAGGAAAACCAAGTCAGATCAAAGCTAAATAACTGGACTTTAGCTTGCTTTAAATTAGAAGTTACAGTTAATTTTGGTCAAACTTTCAAAATAATATGTCACACGCAATCTCATATAGATGTCAACTGTAACTGAGCATCAACCAAATAAACAATAATCGGATAAAATCAACCCTAAATGATGCGGATAAAGTGCAACAAAAATAGTGTTTTAGTGACCTCACAGTGAGGTGAAAAAGCCCTGGCAAAGTCCAACTCCCACCTTGAAGGGGGCCGACTTGCTGCCGGCAATGTGAACCYAACTCTCGCACCTCTTGTAGGGCTGCGTGGTACATGTGAAAGACGGTAGAAACAATATGAAGCTGGCCCACGGTAGAGATTTACCCTCTACCGTCCTGTCGTCAGTTACGTCACCACACCTGTGTCAACATGGCAGCGAGTGCAGAGACACCTGAGCAGGAGGAGTTCCAAATATAATGAAGAAATACAGCTTTTTTTAAACACTTACATAGAGAATAAATCCTTGAAATTTCCCTCTCCCACTGTAGAAAAGTTAAGTCGTGTCGCGGTATCATTTCCTCGCTCCCGCTGCACGTCGCGCCGAGCAAAGCTTTAACAACAGTAGTTTTTTCACACCCAAATTTTTGTAGATAAAACTTGTTTTTTTATGTATTGTTACCCATAGAGGTGATAAAAACAGATGTGGACGTTCGTTCAGTTATAAATCCATCTTAACAATGTAACATGTGCTTCTGCTCTGATGATAATAGAATAGAATAGAATAGAATAGAATAGAATAGAATAGAATAGAATAGAATAGAATAGAATAGAATAGAATAGAATCAGCCTTTATTGTCCCACACGGGGAAATTCAGGTGTAGCAGCAGCAGATACAAACATCAATCCACAAAAAACAGTATATTACTGTGTGGCATTATCAACTCTAGCAATAATAATAGAATTGAAGATTTTAACAATACAAATTAAACAAATAAAAATAAAAATAGGAATAATAATGATGAAATGAAGATGAGAGCGCAGCAGAGCAGCAGCAGGTCAGTTCAGCAGGCAGAAGCTCATTGTATGGCAGGCCCATATTACATTTATTTGYCTTCACCACACTTACATTCCAGTTATCTGAAATTTATGACAGGACTATGTGCAGCTTAAGCTCCTTAAGGTCCTGTCACACTATAATATTTTAGTCAACTTATGCCAACTTAGATTTTTTTTTATGTCTAAATGATTAATTTTACTTGAAGTACTGGTTATAACATCCACTTTATTTTGATGTTGTTGAAAATTGAAACCGTTTTGCAATATATATAAAACATTCTTTTGTATTTCTGTTATGTTCATTTGCACTACAGCAAAAATACTATTATCTTTGCTTTTTATGATAATTTTCTACCGAGATATATACTGTTACCATGAAGGGATTCAATTAACCTAACCGCTTGTGTGTAATAACGGACCCACAGCCCAGCACCACAGCGTGCCTCGAGAACAATGGTGGAACCCCTTCTCCAAATCCACTCCGTGTTTAAAAAGTTTAATGTGGTTAAAAATGTATTCTGTTCCCTAGTTTAGTTATTAATCTAATATGTGGACAAAAAAATTACACTTAAGTCTNTTTATTTGGCTTCACCACACTTATATTCCAGTTATCTGAAATTGTTTTATGATAGAACTATGTGCAGCTTAAGCTCCTTAAGGTCCTGTCACACTATAATATTTTAGTCAACTTATGCCAACTTAGATTTTTTTTATGTCTAAATGATTAATTTTACTTGAAGTTCTGGTTATAACATCCACTTTATTTTGATGTTGTTGAAAATTTGAGAAATGTTTTGTTTGGTGTTGAAACCATTTTGCAACATATATAAAACATTCTTTTGTATTTCTATTATGTTCGTTTGCACTACAGCAAAAATACTATTATCTTTGCTTTTTATGATAATTTTCTACCGCGATATATACTGTTACCATGAAGGGATTCAATTAGCCTAACCACTTGTGTGTAATAACGGACCCACAATCCCATACCCACAGCCCAGCACCACAGCGTGCCTCGAGAACAACGGTGGAACCCCTTCTCCAAATCCATGCCGTGTTTAAAAAGTTTAATGTGGTTAAAAATGTATTCTGTTCCCTAGTTTAGTTATTAATCTAATATGTGGACAAAAAAATTACACTTAAGTCTCATCTCAACATACGACGTCTTGCATCAGACCTTTGAATTCAAATGAAGAAAATGTTAACCAACAGGTAACCATAGCAACAACACAGATGCTTGATACTCATCTTACTGATGAGACAACAGGAGACCTTGATTTCAGCCAAAATTCATTATAAATAATATATCTTTTTTTTTTTCATTTTAGCAGCCATTAAAGAACAATATCCCCCTCTTTGTTCAATCAAAACAATGAAAAAGCTCCTGAGAGCCRCTGAGAACAGCTGTGACCTCGCTGACCACGCCAGGTACGAAGAGACAGAAACTACCTGAGTAACAAAGAAAACTGCAAGATTTTGTTCTGAGTTTTATTGGAATGATAATAAAGCTATTTTTTTTCCTAAAAAGCTTTTCGTGCAACACTTGGGTTGAAGCTTGGAGTCGGTTGGTCTTAAAAGTGAGCAGTTTTAGCCTGCGGTCAGATTTTGTGTGGGAGGAGTCGTGTTGCTCCGACGCGCTCACCTGATCTCGGAGCCGGTCGGTCTCCTCCTGGTACTCGGCCAGCTGCTTCTTCCACAGCTCCACGCTGCTGTTGGCCTCCTGCAGCGCCGCCACCAGCTTGGCGTTACTGTCCTGCAGGGTGAACAGTTCAGCCTCCAGGTTTATCTCACACATGGACCTGAGGAGGACACGCAACGTTCATCAGGAATAAAATCAGCTCATGTTTGATGTGTGAACTCAGACAGGGTTTGGTGTGAGAGAGCTAGAACCAAATCAAAACGGCAAGCTTTATATAATCTGATTTTACAAATGAGCTGAGAATAACTATAAAATAGAAAGTTTGAGAGGATTCCTTTTTCTTCTATATGTAGCGAGTGACTCGTTCCACAATTTCTGTTCTGTTTCATTAATTCACATATTAAAAAGTTCAGCTCATTTATGCCAACTTTCTCAGCTATTTAGCCTTTTTGACCTGTTTTCCTTTTGAAAATCCTCAACATCCTAAAAACCCTTGAACTAAATATTTACTGCATTCTTTCTGCTAATTTCAGCTTTCTTTGCCTGTTTGGATGGTAATTTTAGCTMTTTCTCTGCTGTTTAAGATATCTTTCTGCTCCTTTCAGCTATTCTTCTACTAATTTCAACTTTGTTGTGCCTCTTTTTGCTTATTAATGCTAAATTAAGCTGTTTCATGTATTTCAGCTACTTTTTAGCTGATTTAAGTTCATTTTAGATTGATTTGTATTTTGCAAAAATTCCAGCTTCTTCCTGGTTAATTCAGCAAACATATGGTCTTTCTTCTCCTTTCTGCTAATTTCAGCTTTTTTGTGTGTGAGGTAATTTTATCTTTTTTCTGTTTTTTAAGCTATCTTTCTCAACCTTTCAGCTATTCTACTAATTTAGACTTTTTTGTTCTTCTTTCTGCCTTTAAGCTAAGTTTTAGCTGATTTAAGCTCATTTTAGATTTTATTCTACTCACGTCTTACTGTTTAATTCAGCAAACATGTGCTCTTTCTTCTCCTTTCTGCTAATTTCAGCATTTTCAGCTACTTTTGAGCTATTTTCAGCTCAATCCAGCTTTTGGGTTGTTTTTATCACAAATAGCAACTTTTTGTACTCCTTTTGTTTTTCTGCTAATGCGAGCTGCTAAGTCCAAATTGTTTTTGCCATTTTTAGCTACGTTTCTGCTCTGCTTTTATTTTCTACTAAGTTTTCACTTATCTTTATCTCTGCTTTCAGCAAACGTGAGGTGAACACAAACTGAACTCATATTAACATTTTAATTATTGAACATTTTCAGCGTCTTCAGCAGCTTTCAGCAAAAATCTGTCAGCAATGAACATTCACGCTGCATTTTTGCAGGAAATGTAACTTCTCCAGTTTCTGATCCCGTCGCGGAGACACCTCACAAGTGAGAAAATGCTAAAGATTATGAGGTAAGAAATATTATAATCTACCATCTATTTCATCCAAGTTTATGGGCATGCATCTAAGAAGATACAAGTTTGATCATTTCAGTGTTTTCTGATTTATTTGTTCAATCGAAATTATAACAAAAACTATATTTTGCTTCTGTTTCTGTATGGAGCTGTTGCATATTAAACAGCAGCTAAAAATATTCCTGTTTAGGAT